TTATCTCATGCTGTTGGAAAACAGTTTATTTTCTAAACTATTATTGTCTTGCAATAAAGATGGATTAAGAGAACAGTTATGTAGTGTGGCCAGCTAGATCACTTGATCTTAATCCATGAGATTTATTTTTTACCTGGTAATGAAATCCAAGTAGGTATTTACGCAAAATTCTCTTCAGGATTTGCGTCAGCGAATAATTCATAAATGTCGGTCGTTGACTCCAGATGTGCAGAGGAATGTTCAATACATTTGGGACACTGATTACATTTATAAATGGTACACGGTGGTGCATGGTAACAATCTAAATAACTATTTTTATTTTTCTTTTCACTATATAGTATTTAGAATGAAAAATCATATACCTAATATAACAAATATAGCCGTGTAGGTAATCGAAAAGTGCTTTAGAATGTGACATTGACCTTCTTACTATTTAAATTTTTTTAAGAGAGTAATTGCGGACGGCAGGGGAAAAAAGCCTCATCATCAGTAGTCATTGAAATGCGTCCCCATCGAAAACGTACTTGATGTGTTTCGATTTTTCAGAAAATTATTACTTTCAATGTTACTGGGGTCTTTTGGTTGGGACACACTGTATGAATAATACATACTATAATTTCTATATCAGGGTGAAGGAATATGAGAAATAGCGAGAGAAATAGGTAGTGTCTTAAGATTTATTATATTTATACAATATTTTATTACAAAAAAAATGTATGAACAAAAAAATACGAATTATTCTGTACTGTAAGTATCCGCTCATTGAATCAAAAAACAGATAAATACATGTGCTTTATGGTGCTCTATGGAGGTACATCTTCGCCCCCATAAAGTTGGCGCTACTCAATTTTTAAGATGTCTATATTATTGTATAATAATCTCTTAATGTATATGGAACGATCCGTGTCAACCGTGCCACCCGCTAGTACAAAAATTGAATCGGTCAAAAAAATCGCACGACGGCTTAAAAAATTCGTTGAGATGAGCGCTTTCGAAAGCCGTGTGGCGCTTTTTAATTTTCAAGATGGCGGTTGCAATATGGCGGCTACTATCCACGAATTTTGGCGACCTCCTGAAAGAAGTGCTATTGAAAAAGGAGCGATGATGACGAAAATTTAGCTATGCAACAAAAATGTTTGTTTTGTAGAGAGTTACCAAATTCCAAGCGTGTCCTCTGAATTTTCAAAATGGCAACTTCAAAACGGCGCCGATATCATCGAAATACCAAAATTTTTGGCTTAAACCTGTTGCAATCCACATTTGGCGGTATATGCGCTAGTGTTATTCAACAGAAAACGTTGATACGGAAGTGCTCTACCAAATGTTACGTGCTTAGAATTGGCCTCGAATTCGTGATCAGCGATCCCGAAAACCCCCTTATACCAAATTTGATGCGAATCTGTTATTTTTTGAAAATTTGGTCGGCCATCTTGGATCCGCCATCTGGAATTTTGCAAAATTGACCTCGGATCCGTGATCACCGACCCCGACAACCCCTGTATACCAAATTTGGTGCGGATTTGTTATTTTTTGAAAATTTGTGATATCTGACCTTAATTGACAATTTCTTTTGAGGTTAGAAAAAGAACCATCAATTCTGACCGCTAATTCACGTTCGGCGGGGTCTTAACTATATAAATGAACATATGAATATAGTAAAAAAAAATTTTTTCTAGTTTTCCTAGCACTTTTTCGTGAATTTTTGCTATTTTTGACCTGTTTTTTGAGGTTAGGAAATTCCTGAGATGTGATAGCTCAATTCTGACACCGGATTCGTGATCAGGAGGAAAAAAAACTACTGATAATATATGTCGCATGAAAAGTACAGACTACTTTTTTTGTGTGTGGCTGTGTTATTATTTTGAAAAAAGTTTATACTCAATTTGAAGAGATTATTTCACCGATATCGGTGCCATTTTGCAGTCGCCATTTTTTAAATTTACCGCATATGCTGATGCGTTAGTCACACAAGGAATACTTTTAGTGAGACTATGGAAGCGATCAATTGGCTTTTTCAGCAGATTTTGACCTTAAACGTGTTAATTCGCTGGTATAGGCGCCATTTTGAATGCGCCATTTTGGAAACTTGTAAGGCGCACATCATATTAGGTAGTGCACTTGCTTACGCACGTTTCTAGTTAGATAGCATGAGCTTAATCGCAATTAAATGGCGTTATTAGCAGATCTTGACCTAAAATCGAGCTATTTCACTGATATAAGCGCCATTTTGAGGTTGCCATTTTAAAATTTGTGCAAGGAGCACGTAACATTTGGTAGAGCACTTCCGTATTAATGTTTTGTGTTGAATAACACTAGCTCATACACCGTTAAATGTGGATTGCAACAGGTTTAAGCCAAAAAATTTGGTATTTCGTTGATATCGGCGCCATTTTGAAGTCGCCATTTTGAAAATTCAGAGGACACGCATGGAATTTGGTAACTCTCTACCAGACAAACATTTTTTGTTGCATAGCTAAATTTTCGTCATCATCGCTCCTTTTTCAATAGCACTTCTTTCAGGAGGTCGCCAAAATTCGTGGATAGTAGCCGCCATATTGCAACCGCCATCTTGAAAATTAAAAAGCGCCACACGGCTTTCGAAAGCGCTCATCTTAACGAATTTTTTAAGCCGTCGTGCGATTTTTTTGGCCGATTCAATTTTTGTACTAGCGGGTGGCACGATTGACACGGATCGTTCCATATACATGCATATTATTACGCTATACAGGGTGTCCCACGATGACGAGGCATTAGACATATTTCAGAGTCTACTTCGATTTTAATTTTGAAAATTTGGGCAATAGTGTTTTCGGGCATGCCTTTCTCAACTAATATAATGTCGTCCACCTAACGGTTCCGGTTATGCCAGAAGTTAACGTCATCTTCGTTATTTTAAATGAAACACCCTGTATATTATTGCAATTTTAGATTCTACGTCAATTTTTGGGTGAACTTTCATAAAGGTTTCCTATACTTAAGGCTAATTATTAATTTAAAAAAAAAAATTAAAAAGTACTCCCTAATTCAAAAAGATGTGTATTTTACAATAATAAAGTTAGAGCGACAAAATTTATAGGGTACATAACTAAAACTCCCTTCCTTCCCTGCCATAATTTCAAAATTACTTTATGACTGATTATCTTGTGACACTCTCCATGAATAAATAATAAATTTAGAATGTCAGCATTTGAATAAATGTAAACGTTTTCCATTCTTTAACAATAAATAATACTCAAATAAACATTCACTGTATGTGTTAAATTGACAACAATAGACTGGTGACAGATTAGGTGCTTGTTTTGAAGTTCTACTAAAAATTTCACAGCCATCCTCGCAAGAAATTATGCGATATCCGTTGACTGCATGGAAAAACAGTAAATAATAAAAACCAGAAGAGATATGTATAGGGAACCATTATACAATTTAAAGGAGAACAAAATTATTCATTAGGTTGCGCAAAAATATACAGGGTGTTCCATTAAAAAAATAAGTTTGGATGGTTTAAAGTTGACTTAATTCGGCATTAAATTTCTACCTCCCTGTATGAAATTAAGTTATTTTGAAATTATGGTAGGAAAGCTTAGAGTTTTAGTTATGTCCCCTATAAATTTTATCGCTCTAGCTTTATTATTGTAAAATACACACATCTTTTTTTAATTAGGCAGTGCGTCGGGCAGTGTTTTAATTTTTTTTGAAAAAAATTAAATATATTAAAAACGGTTAACTTTAAGAATAGGAAACCTTTACGAAAGTTTATCTAAAAATTGACGTAGAATCCAAAATTGCAATAATATACAGGGTGTTACATACAAAATAACGAATATGACGTCAACTTCCGGTATAACCGGAAGCGTTAGGTGGACACCATTATACATATTAGTTGAGAAGGGCATGCCCGAAAACACTATTGCCCTAATTTTCAAAATTAAAATCGTAGTCTCTGAAATATGCCAAATGTCTCATCACCGTGGGACACCGTGCATATGCTATACTATATGGATGGAGGATCCCAAATTTACGCGATTTAAAAAATGTTGAGATAAAGTATTTCGGCATTACCTATTTGATAAAAAATTCTAAAATACACATAAAGATATTTTTTTTATAAGTACATAGTCTAAAAAAAATTAACCTATCATTTTTATATGTCGCCGTGAATTAATTAACAATAATCATATATTTATTTTGAAAAAAGTTTGTCCGGTTATTTTACAAAGATCTAAACCCTAAAATGGGCTTGAACAAAAACATTGAGTCATAATCATAAGATATTAGATAAGTAAAGCGGAGTTTCCAAAAGTTAAATCTACACATCCTTAAAAAACTCTGGTCCGATGACGTCTGTTAAAAACTCAAGTATAATAATTTTTAAAGCAAATTATAGATTGCACTTGATTAAAAAAAAAAGTCAGGAAATTTGGCAAGCGGTTTTTTCGTGTCACGTTTCAATTTTAAGTGTATTGTGTTCTATAAATTTTGAAAATTCAAGGGTTTTTAAGATTTCATCGACAAGTTGGCTTTTACAGAATAAAAAAATATTTATAAATAATTCATTATCATGATAGTGGGTTGGAGAGTTTTATGTGAAACACCCCGTATAACAAAGGTAAAAATTTATTGCGATTAAAGAAAGAATACCTATTCTTTGTTTGTTTTAAGTGTTTTTAATGGAATAAAATTTTTATAGCTGTGCTTACAGTTTAGTTGCTCTAAAAACAAATCTAATAACGGTATATTTTAATAACAATTTTCAAATACATTTATTTATTTCATTTTAAAGAAATTAAAAATTCATAAAAATACATTCAAATATTGCATAGAAAATTTAAAAGGTATTTATGTAAAGTGAACAATTAAGTAGGTACTTCCATATCGCTACTCGCTAGTATTTGTTTAGTTCCGGAGGTAAAAGCAGCCTGTTAACATTAACATAGTAATAAAGTAAGCGAGCTGACGCAACGTCTCAGCGGTTTACACGGCTTCCCTTATAAAAATCTTACCTAGCTCCGCATAGCAAAGGGCCCCGATCATTGACAAAATCCCTGACAGCACCCACACTATTAAAGCTTGTCCGATAGATCCGGAACTTAGTAAAACACCCTTGGGCGACACAAAAATTCCAGATCCAATAATAACACCAACTATAATTGCCACCCCATCCAGTAACGACAATTCTTTCTTCATTTTAACACCGGAAGACTTGCTTTCAGTGGATAAATCACTTTTACTTTCCTTCTTCGAATTGGACATTTTCACTTTTTATTTAATTTTTTTGAAATTAATATAACCACACCGGACTAGGTATTATTTAACTGTCATGCCGCAACTACCACCACGTGTTTACTTGAACAGTAACTTGCTTCATACATTACGTCTGGGTCTGACTGACTGACTGCCAATGCGAAAGGAAGCCCCCGCTCTGACCGTTTGAATTTTAATTATCAGAAAGCAAACTACTTTTGGGTTGCGCAGTAAGATCCGTCGCACTCGTTTTCGATCACTTTGGGCAAAAATTATAATACGTTTGTGCCTTCCTTGCTCCCTCTTATGTTGATTCGTACTGTATGTTGCATCCTGTGTGCGAAATTGCCCTAATAATTTCAATAGAGTTATACATAATGCGTTAAGTGCCGGATGACATTCACGCGATATTTTTTTTGAAGTGTTACCGCTTTAGGTATAAATAAATTCACAAAATGTTTTTGTAAAAAATGTAAATATAATTTCAAGTAAATTATATCCAAGCTGTTTTTAACATTAGCTCAGAATGGTACTTTTAAATAATTGTTTATAAATTCGCCTAAGGGTCGATTTATCAAAAGAAATTTTGTCAAATGTATCATATCTTAACAACCAGGGCCGCCGGCAGGTGGGGTTAAGGGGGGTCCATCGACCCCCCTGGATTTTTAAAAAAAGATTTAAAATCAAACAATTTTCGTCTAATTTCTTAAATTTTACAATACCGCCTAGGAATTTAAAATTTCACATTAACTTAAAACGTTAAAATAAAACAATGTAATTTGAATGTAATGTAAAAACGCGTTGTGCGAAAACTCCCACAAAGACAATATCCGCGGGCGTTAAGAAGCGGCCAGCGCGTTTCCTAGCCTGCGTTTGCTTTGACTGAATTTTTGTGTATTATTATTATTTAAAAATTAAAGTTGTTGTTTTTTTGTTGTTTTTATTTCAATTCTAGACTATACTCGACGGCCGAAATTATAGATAGTGATTCATCGCTAGCTCTTTGACTGGTAAGGAGAATGAGGCGTGCGGGGATCCAAAATCCATAGGCGTGTATACGTGACAGGCAACAAGATGTAGAAAATATGGAAAAAATATAATAAAACATAACATTTATTATTTTTAGAGGTTTTATCGAGAAAACTTCAAAAATATTTTAGTAACATTTTGTTTTTAAATTTTAAGTGTTTTCTATAAAACGATGCCCTCTTGGGCATCGATAACCCACCACCACCCGGCTTACGCCGCCGCAAAATATTGTAATGTTTACTATTAATATATTTATTTAAGTAGGTACTTACATATTTTATAATAATTATCTCACGAATATTATCACTGTCACACTTTCACTTTACTGTACTTACATATCACATTATTCTCATTATATATTTCACATATCACTGTTGCTATCACTATCACTAGAA